AAATGCATCAACATGGCTAAATTATAATAGAAACCACAGGAAAATGATTGGAAGGCTTTAAGAAAAGATACATATTTTTACAACCTCAAGCCCATTCTGGATTTCATGGAGCCTGGCGTGCAGCAACTTGACATTATTACGATGATAATTTATTAATGATCTGTATATTTCAGTGCCCCTCTGGCTCTCCTGAGACAACATCAAGCCTTCTCTCTGCTATGCATTTCACAGACATAAAGAATGGACGTTTTTGTCCTCATAAATCAGCAGAATAATGCAATTGCTGAATGCACGTAAAGGCCAGAACACAAGAGGATTGTTATAAAGCAGGGTATAAATCCTATTGCCAGTTATCCCTAAATATTCCCTTTTTGGAGCTTTACAGGTTTGTTTTTTTTCATCTATACTGTGCATAGATATCCTCAGACATGAAAAACAGTTGAAAACTTGTTAAATTCCTTGATCACACACGAGTGAGTGAATGGTAAATACAGTGCAGCCACCAAGAAGAATTCAAAGGACTTCAAATCTTTAGATCTGATGTGTAATTCAGCTGACACACGGCACGTGAAATTTAACATAAAGTCATGCAAATTGGTTACAGAAAGAAGTAAAAAGCGAAAGGGGAAAAAACACAGAGGGGCTTAATAACAGTGGACACCCCATAAAACAATCATAGGGCCTGGCCTGCTGCCAGCACAGCACAAACATTCACATCCCTGGAGCTGATGGAGCAAAAACCCCACCAGCACCCCACAGGGGAGCAGGGTTAATCTCAGCCACGGCTATGATGTCATCAAAAGCTATTATTTTGTTCCTGTTAAAAAAAAAAAAAAATCTAAAACTTGAGCACAGCCAAGAGAAGTTACACAATGAAACTGCTCTCTGTACTAACCGTGCCAATGGCCTGGTGGCTGGAATGCAGATTTAGGTGAAAAGAGGGTGGGATTTTTAGGGATTTGTCAGCATGTGGATTTTTCAACATTATAGTTTTGGGATGGCCTGTCAGGGGCTCTCTGCAGTGGAGGATCACACATCAGCCCTGCCCACAAACCTGTGCTCTGTGTGTACATTTAGAGGTACCTGCCCTGGCCACTGTTACCTCCCTTGTGCAAAACCTGACAGGATTAGAAAAATATGTGAAATGTTGGGGCTGTAAATAGTGAATTCCTGGAGTAATTCTTTAAAGTTCCTCTGAATTTTTATTTTTTTTTTTACCTTTTTATCACTTCTAACTCCCTTCAAATTCAGATTATGTGTCTCTAATGAGATTGCATTAAACACTGTGGTATTTTTGTCATTTTTTGAAGTTTCTTAGACAAAGCTTTTTTTGTCCCAAAGCTCATTGTCCCACTATCACTGAGCATCTAGAAACACAAATTGGGATGCCAAGACCAGCAAAAAAATCTCACATTTGTACATGCAAGACAAGAGAAGTGCTTAACCCTGCCTCTCTGCAGTTGGAGCTTTGCAAAACCATGCTGCCTTGATAGTTTAAAACTTCCTTTCATTGACCACTCTAATGTGCTTTTGCAAATCTCTTGATGAATCCCAGGTTAGTTGAACTGTTCAATTACAGCTTTATCCTAATCCTACTTGCTAAGCATTAATGCCAGCAACCTCCCACATCCTAATCCTGTCCCACTTGACACTGACCCACGCTCAGTCCCACATGATGTGTGTGTTAGCACAAAGCCATGCAAACAACATATTAATCAGGAATGCAGCAGGAAAAGGAAAGAAATAGAGCAGGGAAGGGTTTTTCAGCAAAAAGACACCACTGGCTCCACACACAGGCTTGGCACATGCAGATTTAAATGCATCTTAAAAACAACATAAATACACACACAAATGTGCTGATGGTTACAAATCTAAGCTCTTAGAAGGTCTCTTGATCATGATTTAAAACAAGAGAGGAATCCAGTCTGAGGGCAGATTGAAACTATTAGAATTAGATACAGTCTTAGAAAATGGAAAGACTTTTATGTGTGATAGACTCCCATCCTCTATAATTCACTGCAGACTGGGAAAGTGATTCCTTCAGATCTGCTGCTGACAGCTTAATATTCCCAACGATAATGTTGTCAGGTGATAACACAGAGCCAGCCCATACACTTTGATCTGAATGGAAAGTTTGCTTTAACTGCAGCATTCTGAGAGATTCTGCTTGGAAAAAAAAAGAGCTCAGCTAAACTGAAAGATTACCTGAAAAGCATCTAATTGTGGTCAAGTTAGAAATGCACCAGCCTTGAATAGGTCTAAGTTGCCTTCCCTGAACAAGCTCTGGAGAGTGACCAGAATTCTCTCTCCAAAAACATTACTGAGGCAGACAAAGGCACACAAGAACAATCCTAAAGAACTTCATACCCAGCTTTTAAAGTGAGTGTGCTGTCAAATGTATTCTCTCAAATTTCAGGAACATGAATATATGGCTTGTAGAAACTCCTGGTTTAAATGTCTCTCCACAACTTTCCTTCGCTAACCACAAGACCAACGAAATTCCTGTAGGTTTCTACATCCATACAGCTAAATATGCTTCCAATTATTTTCCTGGCACGGTTAAAGAAGAATTTCAATAGTGCAAGGCCTTTATGTCAGGATAGCAAAGCTGTGCCTTTCAGAATGCTATTGATACTGTTCTGCTCATGTCCAACATTGTAATTTCAGCAGTGCCAGGCTGGACTGTCCCTGTGGGCACCTGAGCAGGAGGGAAGAGCTGAGCTGCTTCATACTTCATAATCCCCTCCATACTTAGGGATTAAGGACCATTATTCCCTGCCCATGGGCAGAAAGGGCACAGAGAAAAGTGGTGCAAGGGCATGATTCTTCTCCTCAACTTTTGAAAAGGTAGAAGAACAATTGTGGCATGATTAGAAGGAAAGGTGCAATTTGTCCATCTTCCAAGGAGCTCTAAATTTTAGAGGGAAAGGCCAAACAGGAATGGCCAAGGTTTGCACTGACCTCAGGAGCAGCCCACATGCATGGTCAGAACTTCTCTTGTCCAGAAAATCTTTAAAGGCTTTCAGTGCAGAGAAGCTGATTTTTGCCTCATTTAAATTCATAATTGACCTGCCCCTGTTTTCCATGTCGTGTTTCTGTTTCCAGTGTAAGGAGCATTTCCAGTGTAAGGAGATTCTGCTTAAGGGTTTGCTCAGAAAACAAGAAAACAAATCACTGCAACCCTCTAAAGTACCACATGCTGAAACTGAGCGATTTGAGGTGGCAAGCAATGTGGCACTAATGGTTAAAATCCACCAACACAAACTGGAAATGGGATCTGAAAAACAACCCAACTGTTTTGGAGATTATTGCGCGTCAGAAATCAGGGAATGATTTGAAAATTACTTTCAGGTATTATGTTTACTAAAATTGCTTTCCTACCCTGGCTGAATTGCAGAGTTATTATCACCTACCACACGTACCAGATAAGCTGTAGCATTTGTAACCTGAGCATTATTCTTATCATAAGGGTTTCATTAAGAGCGTCCATGTGATACTGCAGTGTTTATGTGCACACACACGTGCCCCACTGCTCTGTGTGTGCATCATCAAATTACTCTCCTTTTAATTGCAAAATCCAGGTTGCCTTTGTGCTTAAAACAGGCATTATGCAGTGGGGGAAAAGAACAGCAGAAGAATAAGAGACTCAATTTCCTGAAATTCAGAGTACCACTGTCATTAAATGCACATAGCAGAGTGATCAGTTAATTGGGAAAAAAAAAAGAAGCAACAACATCTTTTAAAAAATAAATTCAGTACATCTCCTAAGAACAATAAACCACTTAATAGCACAGAAACTTGAACTTTATCAAGGAGAAAGACAACAACAGCCCTTTCAGTTACCAAACCCTGGTTTTGGCAGGAGTGACAGATCTTGGATCAACTCCTCATTAAGTTGTGAATTATTAATTTTAATCCTAATACACAAAGTGAATGTTTCATCTTGGAAATCTGGACTCAAAAAAGAAATACTGTCAAAGGATTGGACCTTCCTTCCTCCAGGTAGAAGCAACAAAGCCTTGATGAGCTGAGGTCATGGTGCAATTTTCACACGAAGCAGGGTGAAAATTATGTCAGGATAGTATGAAATTTATGAATTTGATGAATTCACCAGGACTTTCTCCTCACTGACCCCATGGGATTCATTTCCAGGGGAGTTTCAGGACCAAACCAGCTGAGTTTTGTCTTATCTTCCTCTATACAATGGTTTAAAGTTTCTGACCTGAACACACCTCCACAGGCAGCAGGATTCTCCCTGAAAGTGCAGACTCCCAACAAGAAAAGCAGAAATGGTGCAGGCTGTCAGCAAATCTGTGTGCAGACCCTCTTTGAAAGAGGCATTGAATCCCCCTCAGATTGCCACTAAACCTGCTGGCCGCCTCCAGGATTTTGCCTGGATTTACACTTCTTTTTTCTCTTGTCACCTATGCAAGGGTTTCAAGTTTTGGAAACTACCATATTTTTCCCAATTTGACCCAACAGTGGCCTAAAGGTGGTTGAGTACATATTATTATCAGCCATTGGGGAGTACTGCAGAAAAGGCTACAAAGATAGAGCTATCAGGTCCACCTGAGCTGGGTTAAAACATGTTTCTTTCATGTAGAGATGATAAAAGACCTGTGGAGTAAGGGGAGGTCATGCATCACCAAAAAAGTACACATGAAAGTTGTCCCTTGCACAGTTCTCCCCTTTGTCAGTCCATTATTTACCATAAATACACCTTTTGTCACTACCTATGTCACCACCACTAGCCTGTTTATGTTAATAAAAAGCAGACTGACAAAAATCTGCTCTCTGATACATGAAGAAAATACCCACTGATTTCAGAGTGGTCCAAGGCTACTAAAATACCATGTTTGGTTTAAATATTACATATGGACAAGTGCTACTCCAGGTTTTCTAGATATTTTTTAAGGGATTTCTCCTCATAGTTTTCTCTTAAATTTTCTGGTGTATAATGAACTTTTTCAAGCCCAGGTTAAAATCCCGCTTTAACTCACCAGATAAGATGGAATCTGTGCCTCTGAGCACCAGCAGCTCTCACACTCTGTTGCTGGGCGTTAAAAGCGAACTAGGAAAAAAAAAAAAAAAAAAACATTAAACCACTCTAGACACTAAGGAATAAAAGTTTTCCTGCCTTTCACACCTTTTACTACTCTATATTATGGATGCTATACTGCTAAAAGACATGGTGAAGGTGTTTCTACTTGTGCAGATATATGACATATAAAATATGCTAAGTGAATGATAAAAATGGTGGAAGATTTTCCACTTTACACTGTTCCCAGCAATATATTTACTTGCCTGTATTTATTTAGCATTGCTTGTTAATTTGTTTATTCTCTTTACTTCTTTGCAACCTCTTCCACAACACCAATCAGACAGCTCCTCCTGCCACCCTTCCAATTTTCCCTTTAAACCTCCAAACTTATGCTCTGCCCTCTTTCCCTCAGAACTCAACCACGGTTTTTGGGAGTGTTTCTGCTCCTGGCAGGGCTGCCAGTGTGTGGTGGCAGGCTCTGCATGGGCAGGGGCTCCCTGCAGAGAAAAGGCAATGTTTTCAATGTTTTCCTTTTCCCAGAATGTCGCGTCCCCTCGCGGTTCCGCTCAGCGAGCGGTTCCTGGCCAGGGGAGCACTTTGTCCCCTGTGTCATATGCTTGAGCCCTCCCTCCTTCCTGCTTGGGATCATGAGATTACTGCTAACAATAATAAAGCCAGCATTCTGAGTTTACAAAATAGAAGGCACAGGGATTAAGCCCTTTAATTAATCCTTGAGGGGAATAATCCAGACATTGCTACCAGAGATACTGATTTTTTGGGATGGGGGAACAAAACCTTCAACATTGCTTAGAATAATTTTCAGAACATTGCAAATTACTGAAAGCTAAGTGGCAACAAACCTTCTCCTTGCTCCTCAGCAGGCATTCAGCAGCAGCAGCTGCTCTGGGCAATCCCAAATCAACTTTATAGGCTCAGGTGGGGCTGCTCTGTCCTGATGCAGGATGCTGGGGTGTGATCAGCACAAAACACCAGCAGGGGCTGTCACAGCTGGCACAGACACTCTCCAGACTCAGGTGGAGAAGGGATTTCACCTGAGCTGGTCCAAGCACTGGGGGTTTTTCAGTCCAGTCCCACTTAGGAGCACCCTTGGAGGAGCTCAGGGCTGTGGACAGGAGAGCACAGTGTGGTACCAGCTCGTGCTCCTGCCAGGGGATGCTGCTCCCTGTTCCTCTGGAAGGAACAAACCAGATTGCACTGGAATGGACAAAAATCTTTATCCTGACCTTTAATGGAGGCTAAATTTGGTCTTTTTTCACACAGCTCCATGACTAGGTATGAGTAAGAACATTACATCTTCTTTTAAGGGTATTTAGTCACTGTTGACTTTTCCAGTATTGGTGCCAGCTTTTCTCATCTTGTTGGAAAAAAAAAAGAAAAACCACAGTGAAGACCCTGGCAGTGCTATAGTGGAGGTTTCATGGTTGTAGAAATCCTAAAACTATCATGTATTCTTCTAACACATGTGCTTGGGAGTGCTAAAACACTGACTTCACCCACAAATAGTTCAGCATTTTACAAAGTTCCACTTCCCTGCCCTCGAGAGCTTTCTATCTTAAACAGCAAAAACAAAAGAAGGGAAGAGAACAGAGCAGAACAGAAAAATATTTCTTTTTAAAAAAAGACTCTGGTCCTTTGTTTCATCATTTTTGTCAGTAGTTGTAAACAACTTTTATTGCAACAGTAAATGAACTAGTATGTCTATGAGAGAGCACTGAAAACTAAATATAAAACAAAGTATAATTACTTTTCAGTAATTAAATCTTTCTTCTGTCCTTCAACAAAGGTTGAGGGGTGAAAATACCTAGGAGTTGTTTCCTGGGCTATAACAGGAGTCAGTCCAAATTCCATTAGCTCTGGTGGGAGGTGGTTCAGACTCATGGTTTTATTCTGTGAAATGAATGGAAAAATTTCACAAGAAGATGGCACTGATTGAGGAAGACTAATTGTAGAATTAAATATGAATAAAGGCATCTTAAAAATTATACCCCAGTAAGGCTGGTGAACATTTCTTACTCTGTAGCCATAATACATTTCTATACTGAAAAAGTTCCATAGTGTCAATAAATGTTTACACCAGCCCTGATCCTAAAAATATTAAGAAAAATTGTGCGATATGAAATGCAAGGAAACACTTGGAACGTGGATTTATTTGATTTATTAATTAAATTAAGTACATTTAGGAGTTTCAGTATTAAGGAATGCGTTATTACTATTGCTGTACTAGGAATAGCAGTTCTGCCCAGAGAGGGATGCTGAAAAGTCTGAAATGATCCAAAATCTCTGCAGACATGCCTGGAACAGCAAGAGGAGGCAGAGCACCTACAAATTCAGTTCCTGAGAGGAGGAGGCAACTCAGGCACTGAACTGCTGTGGGGAGGACTGACAGTGAGCAAGGATAAAGTGTCTGGTCCCTGCAGTGGATGAGGCAGGGGTCTCTGGGAGCTTTTTTGCTCCATTACTCAGAACAGTAGGATTTGAAAGCATTTTTCCATTAAAATTAAAAAAAATACACAAAATGACAACAGCGAGGCCCAGCTTTCAAGCCTGCACATAAACATCAGTGCTCGGTTTTGAGACTTGTGGTCCTTAAGACCTCCTATTTTATTTTCAAACAGCATACCCCCTGCCAAGAAGTTACATTTTTTCCCTCTTTAAATAAGCAGCTAGGGTAATGGCGTGATGAACAAGTTTCATTTCTTTCTGTTCAGCTTTTTCCATCTTTAATACAGCCTCCAGCAGGCCAGATGGCACCAATGCAATTGCTAGTAAGTCAATACATCTGGCTGCATTCCTGAAATGACAAATCTGATGGATAGAGCCCCAGCTCCTATACAAAGCCTCTTTTCAGAACGCTCTCCCTGGTACTTGTCTGCTTTAAGCAAAACCTAATGTGTGAAAACAAAATAAAATTGAGCTCTTTCAGCACCCCGCGCTAACGTTTCATTTGCAGTGTTTTTATTAACGCTGCCCTGCTCCTGTACCTCGGCCCTGCTCTGCCCAGAACTCACTTTTTGGCACAAGACAGGCTCTGTTCCTCCTCTGGAGCTGCCAGCAGTTCAAAGCAGGTTACAATAAACACTCTGGGCTTTGCTCATTAAGGGCAGCGAGGTTGTTTAGGAAATTGTCCTCGAAGAGAAAACAATCTGAGAAAAGCAGAAATTGAGCAAATGTTTCTTTCAGCCTCAATAATGTCTCTTTGGACAAAATGAGAGTTGGAAATAGGTGTGAGCTCCTGGCACCAGCAGAGCAGGAGCTGTCAGCGAGGCCCTGTACTGGTGCTGCTGCAATCCCAGCCATGCAAGGTGCAAGGGCTCGCCCAGGATCCGTGGGTTATTCGCAAATCTGCAGATAAACCCCTGGGGGGAGTTGTTCATACCGACAGGAGGGTGTGTGTTGCTCTGATCTTTTAAGTTTTTCTAAGCCTTCTGGTGTTTATATTCTTGTAACGAACTTTCTCATACACTTTCTGTAAATAACTTATTGTTTTGCATTCTTTTGTGGAAGAGAGAAATTTGATAGACTGTTGGCTTGTCCAGTGTCATTGGAGAGGTGGCACTGTCACCCTCCAATCCACTGTCACTTTTAGAAATCTATAAATGTCAAAGTCAGAAATTAAAAATTCTCTTTTTACCTTGAGAAAACTGCATGTCCATGCTGTATTATTTCGTGTCCCGTAGTAACAGGTGTGTAGCAGAAAATCTGCAACAAGAGCAAGTCAGGGGTTACCCATCTCCAGAAAACTACAGCCACTGCAGCCATCAGGTGCTCACCACCTCTCAGACAGCATTAGACCTCATCTTATTTTATTGTTATGACTTGGGAAAGCAACCAGCACCAGATAAAACACAAAAACCCAAAAATGTGCAACTCCATCAAAGAACTGCTCTGTGTCCATAGCTGTATTTCACAAAACTATTTATATTTAAAATATTGATTTATATTAAAAATAAAATTTTAAAACGTATTTATTATTAATTAAAAATAAAATTTATATATATGCTATATAAAAATATATATTTAGTATATCAAAAATATTTAAAATATATTTCACCTCTCTCTGTGAGGTGTGATGCTCATAATTCGTGTTTATTCGTCACTGACAGACTTGTGGAAGGGGAAAATTTATTTCTGTGGTAACTGCAGTCCCTGCCATGATAAATATCAAACAACTGACCATTTAAAGTCATGTTACTTACACAAGAAGTGGCTCAGTCCTTGAAACACCCTTAAAAAAAAAATTAATTTTTCTCCTGACTATACCTGCTGAAGTCACTGAGATGGGAGTAACAAATCTATAAAGAATACTCAGGGAGTAACAAATCTTTAAAGAAATCCAAATACAGAAATCAAGAAACTCATATTATAACCACTCACTGCAGGAGTTAACAAGGAGTGAGTAAAATGCAGTGTCCGGTGGGTTCAGGATCCACCATCCCATCACAAACACAAGCCATGATTTGGGGTCTGAGCACCCCCATGGTGAACATTTCTGTCTGCAACCTCAGCTGGAGAGTCCCAGCCCAGAGCATTAAAGAGTGCAACAGGCAGAAAATGTCTGATTTATTGGGTACAGTCTTTGGGCATAGAAACAAAAATGACGACAGCAAAGCTTTCCCAACGTCTGTGCTCTGCACCAGGGCTTGGATTCCCTCAGAACTCAGAGTTTTCTTCTTAAAGGGGCAAAGCAGCTCAGGTGGAGCATTTCAAAGACACCTCCTGCATTTCAGTGCTCATCTCCAGGCAGAGAGCATCCAGGGGCAGATCCTCTCCAAAAACCCCCTGCCCTTTTCTTTTAAGGCTTTTAGATCCTGTCTCAGCTATATCCCACATGGAGAATTAAGTTACTTGCAGAGGGGCCTTTTGCATAGCTCAGTAATATCAAAGTTTAACCTCTGTTTAAGCTGATTTCATTGTTTTAACTTCATTTTTTTTATGAATCGTGGAAATAAATGTTATTTAAGGCACAGCAGGACTCAGGGTCTGGGATGCACAGCACAGATAAGGACCCATCTGTGCATTTCTCTGTACCTCACCATCCTTGGCCTGTTTCTAATATGAGTTTGGGGAGAAAAGGAGAGGAGTTGTGGTTTTTTTTAGTCTCTTGCTAGATGATGTGGGTAGCCCTAAAAATCAGATTCACATTTTTTACATTTTTCGGTGAGCAGCGAAAATAAAATCCTGGGCCTTATCAGTAATTCATGTGTAAATAGTTTCAGCATTATTTTAAAAACAGCATTGCAAAAAAATACTTCACATACCTCAAATGTCAGCAATCAGCAATGAAAAAAAAAGAACTTTTTCCTCACCATATAAATTAGAATGTAAATATTTATACACAAACTTACACATGAAAAAACACAGCCAATGGATTATTAAAAGTTATCAGTAAATTTATGGTACAAAACTGAGTCTTTTCAGCATTGGTGAAGACACTGAGATTTCAGACCTGAGGGTTCAGATACTGAGCTACTATTATTTAAAATATCACCAAACATCAGAGAGATCTGTAGAATTATTCCCTAAATATTTTACCCAAGAGCTAAAGAAACCTAAACCTGACAGCTATCATTATGAGTGTTTAGAAGAGGAAAATTGAGAATAAGAGAGCACCTCATCAAGTATAAGGGGATGTAGGATTGGAAGAGAATGAAGGAGTCTTATTCGCCAATTTCCCTCATTGTCTTACTGTTTGTAGTTCTCACTTCTTAACCATTATTTCACCTTTCAATCTACTGCAGCCACTAATTATTTGACTTTTAGATTCCTTTAATCTCTCCAGGTTGCTTGTCTAGCTGTCCTTTGACAAGATACTATATGTGGGTGAGTATTTTCTAATTTTTCCATTCATTTTTATCAAATGACACATTTTAAATTGCCTCATTTTTCCATGCAATTTTTGCCTACGAGTGTAATTGCTGCAAGGACTTAAATCATGTAATATTAGAACATTCTGAAATAGCAGTAATAATCTAAAAATAGGGAACCCTTTTGAAACAGCTTTCAGTTACGGGGAATCCAAATTATTCTAATTTGGAAACACATTTAAGCAAATTTGGATATGCTGTGCAGCCAGTGATTTTTCACCACTTTCATTTTGCGCAGCCACATTCCATGCTGATCATCTGAAAGCAAAACTCCACTGGCCTTGTCACCCTCCTTAACGTGCTCAGTGAAACAGCACTGAGAAATTGCCCTGTTTTTGAATATTTATCCTCTGAGTCATGTACTGAAGCCTAAAGCCCAGTGATTGAGGGGGAGTCTCCACACATTGAGTCACCTTTCAGGATTTGGCCAGGGAGAACAGGAGAGCACACTGGCTATGTTTGGAAAGACCCTGGGGAGAGAAGGGGAATCAAAGAAAGCACTTTGAATGTGCTGATGGTAAGATGAGCATGAAAATCCGTGTTTTACAGGCACTTATGTCCCATTGGAGCTCTTTTTATATTTTAAACCTGCCCTTAGATATTCAGGTGATAGGAACTGTGGAAAACAGATGGTACCCAGCCCTGGGGATACTAATTACTGGAAAATTAGCATAGCTGAAAATGACAAAATCCAAGTGAGCAGGGATTGTATGTTAAAGCTTGTGCATTAAACAAAATAATAAACAATACACTCGTATTCTGGCTGAAGATACTAGTTACTATAAAATTAACATAGCTGAAAATGACATGAATCCAAGTGAGGAGGGATCTGATGTTAAAGCTTGTGCATTATACAAAATAATAAACAATACACTTGTCTTCTGTTTGAGTGAATGGACAGAGGCCCTGGAGGTGATTACTGCTCTCTTCAAATTTGATACAGGGCCTGATGAACTTTTCCAATCTTCTCCCACTCCTGAGAGAGGTACAGCCCCAGCCTCCACCAGGACTTCCAGCCATTGCTGCAACATTATCGTTAATAGAAGAGAAATAAGTCCCAGCCACATTAGCAATGCAAATATATCTGAACTTTGGCTGATTGTATTAGATCTGACGCCATTATGGAGAAAGCCAGTAATCCCACTGTAATCGATTCCTAGGAAATTTAATTAGGCATTGGATGTGGGCGCTGCTGCTCCGTGATTAGCACATCACAGGGATTCACCATCATTAGCAAAGGTAATGACTGTTTATCTCACCCCTCAGGACCTTCCACCAGCTCTGAGAGCTTCACCTCTCTCATTTTCCAGTCTGAGTGGAGTCAGGAAGGTCTGGGAAAGGCTGTGGGATTTGGAGGTTGCTCCTTGGAAACATGTGCTCAGTAAGGAGAGGCTCAGGCATAACTGACACAGGTATGTTAAGCCTGACCCACAAGATTTCATTCAACACAAGAAATGATGCTGGAATCACAGTCTGGGTCTTTGCCTGCTTGGGTTGATTTTCTTAAAGCACTGGGTGCTTTTATCTGTTTTTCAACAAATAACACAGGGCTGATAATTAGTTTTGTGGGATTCTGAAGTTTTTCTGTGCAGCAAAATGCAGTGGGTAGGAGAGTCCTATCTCTGGCTCTCACTGCACCTCCTCAGATGCAGAATAAATGTCCTGGATTCAGATGTCCTCCTCCATGGAAAGAGCCCCTTGGCACCTGATACCCTGGTGTATCTGTATAAGAGATATCACATTATCAGAACAAAGCAGCCATTGTTTTGGGTTCACAAGAAGTTATATGGATTAAATCAATCACCAAAGACTGTGGTTTTGGGGAAAAGAAAAAAGTAGCATATATGAACATAATAACCAAGTATGTGTCCCAGCATTTTGGGTTTTGTTTCAAGAGAAAACAGAAAATTGGAGATCATATCTAAGCAAGAGCAACCTGTGGCCATTATAAATAGAGGCTTTTCAAGGTCCATTAAGCACTAATCATACCTGAGATTAAGGGGAGAAGGGGGAACCACTGGTCTAAGATTGTTTGAAGGGTACATTTCATACTAGTAAGAAATTTAAGACACAGACAGGTCAGGCTGAGTTCTGTTTAATTTAAAAGATACTCATCTCAAGCGTTAGTCAGAGGTCTGAGGGTGCTGCATGTCTTTCTTGTTACAGTGCACAAGGAAAAAGTGAGCAGAAAGAATTTCAGGAGGAGAAAGAGCAATACAGTTCTGATTCAGGCCTAGTTTCCTCCCTTTTCCCTCAGAAAAACACAGTTTAGGAGCCAGCTCTAGAATTATTCTCACAAATTTTCAAGTTGCTTGTCTAAAATGCAGATTTTAAGCACCTTTATGCTCCCCTAACTTGCCAGTTGACTTGCTGCACTATGAAACATCCTCCTGGGCAAGTTCTGCAGGAATGGTTTTCTCTCAGTGCCTCAGCATTTGCTCCACTCACCCAGGCAGGGACTGTCTGAAAACTGCCCCCCTGCCCACACACTGCTGGGACACAGGCATGGGCTCCTGTCAGATAAATCAGATAAATCACATAAATCACATAAATCAGATAAATCACATAAATCACATAAATCAGATAAATCCCTGTGCTGTCAAACAGAGCACTGCTTCCTACGGAAAATGGTCTTCCCAACCACTGTGCACAGTTTGCAGTGACTGAAATCTGAAATTCAACCACAGCCATGATGTTCTTTAGGCTGGAGAGGGACTTTTGACAAGGCTGTGTAGTGGCAGGACAAGGTGGGGTGGCTTTAAGCTGCCAGAGGGCAGGGATGGATGGGATATTGGGAAGGAATTGTTCCCTGGGAGGGTGGAAAGGCCCTGGCACTGTTTCCCAGAGCAGCTGTGGCTGCCCCTGGATGCCTGGAAGTGCCCAAGGCCAGGCTGGATGGGGCTTGCAGCACCCTGGGATAGTGGAAGGAGACCCTGCACAAAACAGGGGTTGGCAGCAAGATGATTTTGAAGATCCCTTCCAACCCAAAACACTCCATGATTTCATGATTCTGAATGTTGTTGATCGAGCTGTGGTGGACTAAACCCTTTCCTGACCCAGAGATGGGACAACTCAGAGGTGTTTTAAAAACTTCTATTCCATTTTCAATCTCATGAGAAGAGTGAGACAATACAGATGTTATAATTCACACCATCACAATCAGAAGCTAATTATTTCTTAATTATAATACATGATAAGTGTTTCTTGGCCTATCAGCTTTTGCCACACCATGCTATAAATGCCTTAAAGCCAATCACCTAAAATTACCCTTCATGGGTCCTACTACAATGCATCTTTCAAAATTCTATTTCTCCAAAGTATCTAGTCTTTAATGCAAGGCCATCCTTTGTAATTCTTTAAAATGTCTGTCCCATTCCATGGCATTTCTAGGTCAGCATTTCTCATCTCAAGGTTTGCATACAGATGCTCACTGTGTGAGCCTTTGAGAGTTTTCTACAAATCCATTTCCCACCAAGATGGGCAGTGGACATTTTAAGCTGAGCCTGATGGTGAGGATGTGGTGGTTTAGCCCCCAGCTCTGGCAGCCTGTTCTGAGCACAGCTGGATTATCTGAGAGCCAGCAGCCACCCAAGGCACCGGGCACTCATCTCTGTTCCAACCTCAACACATTGCAACCCCTGAATCCATCACCAGTTTGGATAAGGGACCAGGGCACTCAGGGTCTTGATCCAAACCCAGCCAGACCCACTCAGCTCCAGCCCAGCCTGGCTCTGCACCCCCTCCCCAAATTCCCTGCAAGAGCCAAACCAGGCCAAGGCAATGCCAGACCCTGCTCCACTGGCTGGGGAAACAACCCCAAAGCAAGGTCAGGCAGCAAAACACCACCTCTGAAAGAGAGGGAGGTCTCTGTAGCACATTATCATGAAATGTAAACAGCAGTGACACCAGAGACAGCAGAAGTTTGCAGCTGGATTATAAACTTTCTTCCATCCCCCATGCCTAGGAATAAGTCATCCAAACAAGCCCTGGCAGTTTTGACTGCTCGAGAAACTTTATGGCTGAGAGCTGCACAGATGATTTACTGACACGTCTCCTTTTCCCCCCCAAGCCTGCACTAAACTAGAACTTCACAATTGTTTAATGGGGGACAGCACACCCACCTTCTTCTTCTTCTTCTTCTTCTTCTTTGTTTTTTTTTCGTTTTCCTTCTCATGAGGAAACTTGTTTTACAGTTCTTGTGAAAGAATCTGTGACATGCGATTACAACATGGAGCTGTAAATCCAAGTCTTAAAAACAGTATCTGTCTTTTTGGTTTTTTGGGGGTGTTTTTTGAGGTTTTTTTGTTGTTCTTCTTCTTTTGTTTTTTGGTGGTTTTGGGGGGTTTTTTGTTGTGTTTTTTTTTTTTTTTTCTTTTTTGTTCTCAGCAACAGCACACTTGTTTAAATGAGCCAACAGTCTGGGTATGAGAGCACACGACTGGGGAGAGAGGGGAGATAAGACAAAGCTCCTGCTGCATCCCAGTGATGGATGCTGCCCTAGCACAGCACAGAGCTGCTACTTAAAGCTGTTTATAAACTCCAGGCCAGCTCGTTTGTGCTTGTGAAACAGCCTGAAAAATGGAGCCCTGGTGCACAGAGGTACTGCAGAGCAAATACCATTTTAACTGCATTGCTTTCACCAGCCTGACATTTAATTATGGAAATACTACATGAGTCTTCACTTAGTCCATGAAAATTAATGCATGAAAAGTAATTGTTTTTGTTCTAACTTGAACAGAACACAAGATCAAAGGAAATCCAACCACCTCTTTTATAGGAACAGGTGTTTCACTGAATAAAATGCTTCAAATTCAACACAAAATATTTCATCTTGGGTTCTGAAAATTGAAAAAATATCAATAAAAATCTCAATTCTCCTTTCTCCAGTTTCAGTTTTTTCCCTCTCCCTTCTGTTCTTCCTTTCTCTCTCCAGAAAGGATGAAGCAGTATGACATACTAGAAATACAAGCAAGTCCATTTTATTTCACTAAGATTTTTTAGTTAGAAAAAATTACAAACATTAAGATGGCATAAAAGTGGGATTGAAACATGATTGAAATCATGTTTTCCCAAGTAAAACAGATTTTTCAATAGGATATAATCTCTCAAATAATCACAGAACAATCAAAAGAATATTCAAGCTGATTATTTTTTTCAATGAAGTTTTCATTCATCTCTAAATAGCACCGAGGTCTTGGGGGAATAACTTGTTTATTTTTTCATTCATTGTGACAAATGCTTGACTACACCATGAGTTTTGCTGTTGATACTAATAATTTACTTTTCAGATTCATATACTGCTGTTTCAGAAACAATGGGGCTGACCTCTTCTGTTAAGAGCCACCAATGAAACAGCAATGTTTATTTATTTAAAAGGAAAACAGCCTGGTCTCTGACTTGCTTTGCTCAAGATAGAGCAAGATATCAGCAATGATCCACAAACTGCATTTGATATTAAAAACCCAGAACTAGAATTTAAATCTAAATCAAAGTTTGAATTTTATTCAGAGAAAGAGAAACACTTCTTAATATTTTTCTGTTAAATAAGAGCTTTTCCAAAGTCAGCTTTTAAACAGAGTTTTCAGCACCTTGCAAATAGGACTCTAATGGTATTTATTTTTATATATAAATATATTTTCCTGTCACTCTGACCCAAATCCCAAATGACTTTTCAATTTCACCATTTAAGATTGAGTCCTTTTGAAATTTAAAGGAACTCTAAAATGAGGCCAAGACCTGGTATCTGTATATGGTTTTGTCTTAGTTTGTTTATGGAAAAAAAAGAAGTAGCAGGGGGACACATGATTTTATTTGAATTTAATAATTTTTATAATCTTTTCTTTGATGCCTTGGAACTACATTCAGAATGCTGCAGAAAATGAAAAGTCATTTGGCAAAACCCAAAAGGGGCTGAGAGTGCAGGAGCAGAAAATGCCACAGAGCTTTGGAGAGCTGGGAGACGTTCAGATCAAAATTCATTATCTCAAATAAAGAACATTTCTACAAGTAATAGAGCAGTGAGCCACCTAGATGAGCCATTAGAGGGGACATGGACACACATGTGAGATTAGATCCTCACCCACACCAGGATTTTAGCTGCAATGCCATTGTCTATAAACAGGAGTGGGTAGCAAATATGGATTATGGTGCTTTCTGCAAATTCAGAATCCTTAAACACTGTATTGTGCTCTTATGTCCTCCCTACTCCCCACAGAAATAGAAATAGAAATAATATACATGCACACCAGATCTGGACTATCCAGATAGCCTCTTAAGCCAGGCATGTGTAAAGTTAAACTTTCCACATTAATGGATTATATAACTCATTAATAATTAATAAAATCTAGGACTTTTCACATAGACTTATTATTATTTTTTTAAAAAAAATTGCAAAGAGATCAGAATTAAGTTATGCAAGGATATAGGGACACTGTCACTTTTGGAAATGCTAAGGAGAGGAGAAACATTTCAGGCTGGGAAAACACTGCCTGCCCCCCTTAGGAAGGGAAACCAATAAAGTAAACAAGACTCTCTCATTTCAGAAGTATTTGAACAATGGTTAGTTTCAGTTTAGCTGCTGAACTTTCCACAGGCTGGCTGTGCTCACAGCACAAGGTGTACCAGCCCTGGAAAACCATCCATCAAAGCTGCAATGGCTCTGCTTCTGCTGCTGGAGCTTTTTGACTCTGGCTGCACAGTTTGAACCCAGAAAGTGCCAGAATTCTGGTTTTAGCCTGGATCTGCAGCCTTTAAAGCCCAGCACCACCAGCCCCCACACCTTTCACGGCACACACTCCACTTTTACTCACCACTGCCCCAAAAAACGCTGCACACACACTTCTGGCTCCCAAGGAAAACATCAGGGAGTGGGTGTACTTCCTTCAGATTGCATTGTGCTCGAAGATAAGCCAAGCACGGAACAAAGAGCACATTGTGAGCAACTGGAATAGCTGCTTCTGAGGTTTCCAGTGCTTCAGTAAGTTTGGAGTGAAGTGGATATTAAGGACAAGCAGCCACTTTCTTGACTGATCAGGTCTGCCACTGCTTTTTTTGCTGGGTGGATCAGGAGAGGACAGAGCTTGCTGATAATGCTGAGTTGGTCAGTGAGGGGAAGGTCAGAAATGCTGTTTGCACATCTGCTGGAGCAAATACCACCTAGGAGAGGGACAGAGAGGTAAATTCACCCAGGCTTGTTACTTTTCAGCGCCTCTCAGAGCTCCACAAAGCCTCCAAAAAGCCTGGCTTGCTGGGGTGGAACATCCTGGGTGAGATGTGCTAGGCAGGGCGTGCACCAAATGGAACTTACCTGTGCTGCATAAAATCTTTCATCACAGAGGGATCTAGCAAGGTTTTCTCCAAGAAATCCTCTCCCACTTCTGATGTTTGCAAAAAGCTTCTGGCACTTGGCAAGCTGAGCATCTTTGAGTTAGGAAAAAGACCTTTTATTTGTCTCATCAAATTCTTTTCAGTTTGTGTTGATATGAAATTGTTAAAAATCTCCATTTCCCTTCTCCAGCCTGCCAAAATAGCAATTAACTGCAAAAGGTGGCTGATTAAAGTCTCAAAGCAACACAGAGCTTGGAATTATTTGAGCTCTAAGTGATAGTCTCTGCAAGTGAAACCATTTGTTTTACACTCTGTTATCTGGAATGTACAACCCAAGAGCAGCTTGTAGCACACAGAGATTAAGAGCTGTGGCTTAGAAAAGAGCTATGAAGGCTGCATTCAAATCTTGGGCTGTTTTTAAAAGGAAGGAGAAAGTACCATAGAGAAGTTCTGGTACTGAACTTTACTATGAAGTTGTGTAGAATAACTTGCCAAATAATTGCTGAATAATTGCTTGCTAAGACAGCACAGAAAATCAGGATAGTTTGACTTTAGGGGTATTTGTAAGTATTACAGTGAATATACCAGCCCTAACAGGAAGGGTAAGTGTTCCCCACATTGTTTTTCCCCAGTATAAAATTTGGACAGTGCAGGATTGCCACTCTGAAGGATCTGGCTGGTTTAGGCAAGAATACACCAGAATTAATCTCTGGAGAGATTCTATCAAAGCTGTCCCCAAGGCAGTGTTGGCACTGCAAATGGTGCAGAATTTTCCTAGTGACAACAGCAAATCCAATAATGACAGATGTAGAGATTTCTGAAATTACTACAGAAATACTTCCCCTGGAGCATCATCAAGCCAGTAACACCTCCAGAGCTTTAGGGTCTCTGCATCCATGAGCTACACCACGTACATGAAATGACATAGAGATCACAAAAGTCATTAATTGGCCGTTGATTTTTTTAAATATCACACATATTAGCAGGCTCAAGATATGAAAAATGAACAGTCATGTGTTCCAGAGCAACTGTGCTGCCCTGAGTTTAAATAGAATGTGGAAAAGTGTGGAACCCTTCAAATGGACTCTCATATTTACATCATGTGTTCCCATAATCCAAACCAGTGTAGAAACATCAATCACATGGTTTGGTTTTTTCTATTTTTTAAGTGCTAGTTCACAAATGCAAACCCCTAAAAGGAACAAAGTAGGGGAGAATACAAAAGTGGTCAAATAATTTGGTTACATGCCTTATGATTGCACATATTACATTTGATATCTACGTAATTAAGATAATTAGGCATCAGATAATCCACAAGCCTCTGCCTTGGCCATTTTACAGGGAGAATATTGTCACAAGGATGATTGAGAACAACTGGCATGGTGTAATATGTGGCTCTTTAGAGCCTGCCAATACCCAAAAGTGGGGAAAAGACCCACAAATGCATATTTAAAACTAATGGCATAGGAAATCTAAGATGACATGCATTTAACTGCATAAGAAGGAACAACATTTCTAATAACCTCTGTCTCAAAGGTCTGCTAGGCTGAGACAAAACCTGACTTTGAGAAGCAAGGTACCACAGAGAACACAGGAAGGAAAGTACTGGGAGTGGAAGGAAACCACTTTTCCTAACTACAAAACCTGGTTTGTGTCCAAACATTCATCATGGGCAATCTAGGAAGACTTTCTTGCCACCACACTCCAGTTCTCCTGGAAAGCCAAAAATCACTGACATGACAAAAGATGTTAGATTTATCATTCTTAGCAGGAAATCCTAAAGAAAATTCACCTCAGCATTTAAACATGGCTGGGTTTGAGCTTTCTTTAACATAAATAACTAGTTCTTTCTAATTTCATCCTTTTTTTATTTTTTCATTCTCCTGTATTCTAAAAATTATTTGGTACTTTTTCTTAAAGTATCAATGCTTAGAGTGATCATATGAGGCTTCATTAGAAAAAAGGTCTTGTAAAGATGAACTCTATAGATCCAAACCCCAGAATTTTATTAAGAAATAGCTCAGATTTTATCTATTCTAGCACCTAGCTAAATATTAGAGATGTGAAGGACAGACAAGAGGTTTTATATATTCAGGTTTAGCAATAGTGAGCTGCAGACTTGATTTTTATTGTTAGAGCAGATAATGATAGTTTTAAGTTCAACATTTCACAATTTGGATCGTCCTCATGCCATAATGTAGTGACTTTGCAAATTAAATGGTGTCCTTCAAGTAAGTACTCCTACTGAAAATATATATCTGAATGAGAATTGAAGTTATTATAGAGCAGTTAAATATTTAAATCCAGTGTTCTGGGATTGTTAAGGAGTTGGATTTGCATTAAAAAGAATTTATTTGAGTTGCTGAAAAATCTGGATTAGAGAGAGGATGTGGAAGAAAATTCTCCTTGATGAACATAAGCCACACTTGAAACCAGCTCAGAAAAACGTCCAAAATTTCCCTTGAAAGCCAATGGAGGGCTGACTGTCATAGAACAAGGCTGAAAAGTACTGGCTAGCTTACTAGATGCAGCTCATTCCAACTCTTGGTACATTCACGCAGGACAAACATCAGCCCTGACTCCTGAAGGCTCTGAGCCTTCCCAGTTCCCCTGGAGGGACAGTCAGAGCCCCACGGACTGCAGGACACACGGACAAGCTCCAGGCTGTTCCCTTGATGCCTCGAGGAGCTGGAACAGAGGCTAGAAGGAGTTCAGAGGAATAAATGGATATTTAATGAAGACCCTTCAAAAGCCACATCCTGGCAGTGCCCAGATGGCTCCAAGATGGAAGCAAAAGAGTTTGGTCACGAGATCTCACATTTTTATAAGTTTTAGTCCATTTGCAAATAGGAGTTACCTGTCCAATTAATAACTTCAAAGGATGAAGCTTCATCCTCCTTTCTTGCTTGCCCACGCTCCTCTTTTCAGTTGTTTATGCTTTTGGGCCTGAAGTTTGAAGAGATTGTCCTTGAGCCTCCAGCTGGAACAGGATTGTTTTGTCTTCGCCACTCTGTGAAAAGATCCTTGTGACATTTAATATAAAGCTAAAAGCTGAACACCAAAACAGAACAGAAAAACTTAAAACCTAAGAGATGACCCTGAGCAGCCTGCTCAGAGCTGGCAGAGGTTTTTGGAGGCACAGCCCATGGGCACATCTCCTGTGCAGAAAAGATTCCTTGTTCAAAGCTTGCTGCCTCTTCTTCCTCTCTTCAATTATTTGCACCCTGCTCTAACTCATGTTGTGTGTGCTCTTTGCACATTTCCTCTGCTTAGAGAGAAAACACCCCCCCCACAAAAAAACCAACTCCCACACCCAACAAAACCACCACTTTTATGGCCATAAGCCAGGTTTTACACTAAAAATGAGATTTGTATTAAAAACAGCAGCTGGGTGCCTCGATTCCTATTTTCTAGTGTCCTGTGATGTACAGAGCAGCCATTAGCTGTGCTATATTTGGGGTAAATATTGTCTTATTTCACAGGACAAAGACTGAATGTCCCCTCTGTGCCTTGGTACAGGGGGTCATTTTGCTATATATTTATTTCAGGTCTCTTTATAGCACAGAAATGGGGAAAAAGCAGAAGCAAGGATTAAACTCTCAGTATGGAAGGGGAGGTTTGAAGCAGGATCAGCCCAGGAGAGACTTCCAGGAAGAATAAAGGAATGATCAAAGTATGGAACTTCCTCAGGACTGGGTTTGTTAACATTACCACGGGTTGGTGAACGTGAGGTATGAAAAACAAACAGATCCTTTAGCCATGTGAGCAGATTCCAGGAAAACTCACCCAGACTGAGCCTCTGCACATGGCAGAGACCTCACAGCTCCACATTGCTGCTTTTCCCTCGTGGACAACTCCAGTTTGCATAAGAAAATATTCATCTCTAGAACCCCTTCCAACATCATCCCAAAAGTTTTATGGTTTTATGTGAGTATGGTGGCATCCCTTATTTTAACTTCCTCCACAGCAACAATCAGACTTTTGGACATGGAAAACAGCAAGTTTTGAGGCTTTTAAAGCTTAAAGGAAAGTGACTTTGGGGAAAAGCCTCTGGGAATGGGGTGCAGGTGGACAATGGTGGTGGGTGCTGTACCTAAACCTCAGCAGGTTCTCCTGTCTCTTCTCAGGTGCCCTTACCTGTAAGCCTGCAGGAATCCTCATCCCCAGGCTCAGCTTTCCAAGGAGTGATGAGGACAGGAGAAGAGAGACAATTCCAACTCCTTTGTGGAAGAATTTCAAGAATTTAAGGCTAATATTCATCAGAAATGAGACAGAGAGCTTATTTCACCTCAATCATTTAGAAGAGGGAAGGAGAAAGGTCCCAAACACTTCTGAGCTCACAAGAGTTCCTGAAATATCCAGAAAAAAAAGAAAAAGAACGAAAAAAAAGGACCTGAAAATGCAGGTTTCAAAAATAGCTGACATACTTTTCTCTACAGTAAGCACAAGCCACAGGAGCAAGTTGAAACCCTGCCTTTTCTTTGCCCAATTATTCAAGTGAGGCAAAAAATTTTTCTCCCTCCAAGGTGAATAAACTTCAGCCATAAGTAAAGTCCTGCTTAAATATTGACACAGACCAGTATATTCTCCACTACCCAGTGTTTTGTTAGCAATTAAAGTATTAGATAACAAGGCACATGTACACAGCTGGATGGAGAAACCTCAAATTTCTGAACAGCGTCCCAGTTTCAAGAGTCGGCATGGAGTCCAAATGACCTTTATCTTGCCAGTGTTAACAAATTTAGATTAAGTACACAGATACCAAATTCCTTGCATGATTTATCGACTGTGTAATGCTAATTTTTGCA